TAGTAGCCCCAACAACCCATGACTTCTCGAAGGGTGGAGAGGCCAGAGGGGAGTAGCGCCCGATGTAGCACGCAAATACACAGCAGGAGGGCGGGGCTGGCTTGGATGGTGGGAGTCCCCAAGGGTAATTTCCGAGGCGGCGGGTTGCTCATTCGCTAGACCGGGCGGGGTGATCTGCAGGTATAGAACGTGGCATCAGGGGGACACCATCAGAGGTGCTCTACCGCTCTACCCCGTCCTTACGCCACAACCCACGCAGGATCAACGCTGTCGATTCAGGAGGAGCGATTCAGGGGGATTGGTGTTTCCTTTCCCATCCTCCATCAGTTCAGGCTCAAATTCCACCTTCGTAAAAGCCCACTCTTGGTAGCATCAGCGACCTTACCCATACTTAACGCGGACATAAGAGCTTTCCCCCGTAGTAGTGCGGCTATGCGGCGCAAACCAAACGGTGCTACGTAAATGCCCCACCGTGGCTCAACATCCACGTTGCCCACGCGCGATGAAAGAGGAGGCTGGTGGGGGTAATTCATCTAAAGTAGGCCATGCAGCCGTACCCTGCCTCTGACGAGCATGGAATCCCCCTTTAGAAAACGAGTTGCTGGGAAACATGCCCTGTCGGACTACCCCCAACTAGACCAACTGGCCCCACCAGGGGTCGTCGTCAGGAGAGGAGAAAGGATTCGCCGAGTCGGATTTACCCAGTGTAGCGCCGGAGGAGGGCCGTGGCGGGGCGGATAGCGGAGGATGGCGGAGAGCGGGAGGATGGTGGGGTGGGGAGGGTGGGGGTGGTGGCGGGATGGTCCCCCAGATGCTCACCGCTAAGAAGGAGCGACGGAGAGATCTAACGGGCGGGCGGTAAGCATGCAGTCCGCGGCCTGATATTGGGCTACATTATCTCCAACCTTGAGTGCCGGGCCTGGCCGCGTTATTTTCTGTTTGATGGGGGTTTCCGGGAGGTGCCTGCAGGAAGCACCACAGCAGTTCTTGCCAGGCGTGCAGCAGCAGGTTGGGGATGGGAAAGATCTCCTGTCGTCGGACAGTTCTTTTGGATTTAATTCTTTTGCGGCTAATAATATGTGAATGTGGATTTGAGGGCTGGTAGCGACTGTAATTGGGGCTCGTCCCGCATCCCACTCTCTTCCCGCGGTGGAAAAGTGGACGTTGCGCTCCACATCCCAACGTCCGTTCCAAGTGATGAAGTGATGGAGGGCTTGTCCCTGTATTATATGCATGGATTCGAGAATATGCATTGGGTATGCACAAAAGCCGTGTGTGATGTGACGAGGACGAGGCAGTTGGACCGCCGACAAGGGAGGGATGTCCAGTCCAATCCAATCCAGTCGTGGGGAGGGAATTGCCATCCTGGCGGCTGATGTAGATGGTAGGGGGTATGCACCACATTATTGTAGTATTGTAAGCATCACAGCGACCGTCGGTGTGTCCGACCCGGGATCCTCACCCCCGTCGGCCACCCCCGTCAGGAACCCCGTCAGGACCCCGTCAGGACCCCGTCAGCGCACTCATCCATGCTGCCATGCGATACGGAGCTGTATCCCGCGGTGGTGAGGACTAAAACACCGCTGCTGCTACCGTGAGTTTCGCCTTACTCTACTCCCTCTCCCCTCCGTTCTCCATTCACCGCCGTTGAGACGCCGAGTATACCTGGTTGGTTGGGGATACGAGGATTGGTCTGGGCTGGGGATCACCAGGGGGGTGCATTGGACGTTTGTTGATGAAACTCCCCTGTGTGGTAGGTGCTCACAGGCCATTCGAGGCCTCAAATGTTTCCAAACCACCACAGCCCCTATCTCTGTCCCGCCTGGAGGTCTATCTGCCGCTGGTGAGCCGGACACATCCAGCTCACCAGCGGGACACATCCAGGTCACCAGCGGCAGATAGACCTCACAATCGCACAGCGATGCCAATACCAACCCGCCTTATCACCTCACAAACGGACCCCACCGAATAGCCACTCTGCATAACCACGGCAGCACACACTGCAGCGCAGCAGCGTTGGCGGAGATGAAGAAACCGCCGACTGGCTCGGTCTCAGCACACCACGCCTGCATGATATCTCAATGGCAGTGTGATATGCTGTACGTGCCGCGCTTGCGCCGCAGCAGGGTAGGGAATCTAACTACACGAACTCGTCTCGGTGTGAAGCGCGTGTGCAACAGCGGTGCCAGGACACAAAAGTTGCCTTTGGGAGAGAGAGGATATTTGCCGTCCCTAGGATCGGCCGCGGCGTAGATGCATAGCATAGTATGCTTCATAATGGGCGTTTGACCATGCATCTCTCGAAATACACCATGAGCATGAGGTAGGTAACCCAGTGGATCCGCAGTCCAGTCCGTACCATCTCTACCCCAAGTATACCACCTCGCATGTAAGCCCATGCCCTACTACCTGCTACTCCCTCAGCCGGCTTGCCGGTACGATATACGATATGCGGGGTGGGAGTGCGAAAGTACAGCGCAAGTCTAGGTCCAAAGGGGGAAGTTAAGGCGATGGGGGTGCTGGGCCCTGCTGGGTGGATGGTGGTGTGTCTGTCCATGTGGGAGGTGGAATGGGAGACAGACCCTATTTCAACGAGGGCGGCAGCTGCGGTGGTGCTTATGCAGGCCGACGACGAGTACCACGGGGTAACACGCGTATACAGCGCGATTCTCCCAGTAAACCTCGGGAGGCGCTCACTAATGACGACAAATCACTCTCCCCATGCTACTCCGCGCAGCACGGCGGCACACACATACACGCATCCCTCATCTCGCACATCTCGCACATCTCGGGCCTAGTGTCCAGAGAAGAGAGGACGAATTGGCGAATTCCCGATGGCGTCGCGGCACTCAACTCTATCGATGGGACGGGACAGCAGCGGGCGGGCGGGCGTTCCATTGAAGAATTTCAGCGCCTGAGACAAGACAGACTCGCATGAAGTTGAGATCCCCAGTATCGGCCCCTTGTTGGCTCTGGTCCGGTCCGAAGGCAGAAGAAGGACTAGCAGCGCCACTGCGACCCAGAAGAAGACTGAATATGGGTGCATATAGTGGGAAATGTGTACTTGGTCTATTGTATTTGGGGCATTAGAGCAATTTAGCAACTGTTATCGTCACACTTTTAGCGTGTAACAGTAACATATTTGGTAAGGCGTACCAAATGCCAAGGTGCCCACTCTAGCCCTACGTGCCCAAATAGGAAAGGGGACTGCCACACTATAACAGAGCCATTTCTAGCCTAGTAAATTAGTAGTGTATCGTATGTAGTTAGCCATAATTAACAATTTGAACGACATCCTTTGCTTGAAATAGGTGAATACTGTATATTACTCTATAGAAGCCGGCCCTTGTAGCATCTAGCAAACGGCCTAGCTTGCTATGTAGATGGCAAGCCAGCTCTCTAAACCCATTAGAGAGTCTATTAAGAGCCCTAGCCCTTATAGGAGCCCCCTAACTACTTGCCTATCCTATCTATAGATCTCCCCTAAAGGGCCTAGCCAGCCCCTAACCTAGGAGGACAACAATGATGATGATGGTGCCACTAGCGCCACCCCTAGCATCGCCCCTAGCTGTCAAAACTGTATACAGTATTATCTCATTAAGTCGATACATGATTAGTCGATTTTCTGGATAACTTGATAACTTTCTTCGGATCCTTCCATTCGTCATACAAATCACGATACACATGATATTGAGTCCCTTTTCCCCATTATCGACTTAAACTAATTACTAGACTACTCTTAGAATACCTTCAAAATGCCTTCGAAAAAGCTCTATTCTATGACTCTCGAACAGCGAAAAGCCCTCTGAACCTGGCATCGATCTCATCATCCGAAACCTACACAAAAGGCCACTATACAGTTAACAATACAATCATCAACTTAGCCAATCTACAGTCTCAGAATCCCTTAGCTCTTGATTTTTGGACCTTGACGATACTCCTAATACTCTGGAAACAAACAGCTCTAAAGCTCAGCGTCGCCGCGCTGTCGCCTGGCCTGGATGGAAGCTGCTCTTTATGACTGGCAGAGGCTTATTGAAGAGCGTGGCGGTATTACAACTACAGAAATCTTACAATCAAAGGCGAAGATTATCTGGAATCAGCTACCACAATACCGTGGACTACCTACGCCAGAATTTAGCTACAGATGGATCGTAAAGTTTCGACAATGGCATAATATATTATATTGAACTCTACGCGGTGAAGCTGGATCTATTGGTGTCACTGCAGAAGAACAAATGAAGGCTATACAAACTATTGCAGGGGAGTTTTTAGAGGACAATATTTACAACATGGATAAAACTGGGCTTTACTGGAGGATGAGCCCTTCAAAGGGCTTTACAACACGATCAATTCCAGGACAGAAGAAGGACAAACCACGCATATCAGTAGCCATTTGTATTAATGCTGCTGGAACAGATCGACTTCCTCTTTGGTTTATTGGAAAAGCTAAAAAGCCTTGAGCTTTACAACACATTGATGTAGGGGCAATAGGTGGGGTTTGGAGGTGGAATAAGAAGGCTTGGATAAATCAATTTGTTATGGCAGATTGGCTAAATGCTTTCTATACTCATATTGGTATGTCACGTTCTATACTGCTTACAATGGATAACTTCTCAGCCCATATCGCTGCAGTGGAATTGACGCCTCCTCCTCCAAACATACGAATTATTTGGCTTCCTCCAAATGCGACCAGTCGATATCAACCTCTTGATCAAGGTATTATAGCCTCTTTAAAAAGCTATTTTCATCAGCAATGGCTCGAGTTCATGCTCGAATCTTTTAGCAACAACATGGATCCAATCAAAACAATGACAATACACTTTGCAATTCGCTGGCTTATTTGATCATGGCATCACAACATTACAATTACGACTATCTACAATTGCTATCGAAAAAGCATGATTCTTTTATGCCCAATACAGCTTCCTATACACCCACTTCCTGTTCTAAATGACTTATATACTCGAGTACAACAAGCTGGTCATATATTAGACGCTATGGACCTTTCGAACTTTTTGAATCCAGCAGAGGAGGCGATGGCTCCATATATACAGGTTTCCGATGCTCAAGATGATGATGATGAGGAGCCCCAGCGTCCTGTGCTCACCACACAGAACACTATACAAGCCCTCCAAGCTCTGATTGAGTTCTCAGAATCTGAGAATAGTGGCGTGGAGAGGCAATTAGTGGCCAAACAGGCCAATGACTTGGTTCAAGCACGTTGGATGGATGGGTGGTTTAGCTGAGGGGCTACTTCGGGTCTACTTCGGATCACTTTCTAACTCGATATTACTATAACTCAATATATTTATGCATGACCAATTACATTGACTTAACGAGATAATACTGTAACTGCTAAGGACATGCTCTTTGTTATGTGGCTCTGCATCGAGTAGCAGGCCACATACAGCCTAGTCTAACTAAGCATTTTAGGAGCGGATTGCCTAGCGCCTTATAGCAGACTGAGGTAAAGAGCACTAAATGCTTCACTAGGCTGTAGCTAAGCTTGTCTAAGAGCATAGGGCATGTATCGCTAATCTTAATAGCAGTAAGCAAGATGCCTAGTTGTCCATAACATACGCTCTAGACTCCTAGATCACTATGCTTAATGCTTAAGAGGAGGTTAAGCAGCTTAGCAAGAGGCATAGGGCACTGCTAATGTAGAGACAACTACATTAACAGCCTAGTAGCAGGCCTCTCTTATGCTCTAGGCAGACAAGACGCAGCTCTTAAGAGCTGCTTCTTATGCCCGCTAGCAAGAGGACGAGGAGGACAAGAGCAGCACTGCCCCTAAGATCCTAAACCCCACAACCCTAGACCCTACAATGATGATGACTAGCTGCCCTAGCACTAGTTATAGCCCTTAAGTGGGATCCTGTTGCTATAGGACTTGAACGCCTCTTTAGCATTGTTAAGAGGGTTGTTAGTTGGATAGGCAGCAGCCTAAAGGAGAAGGAGAGGGAGGAAAAGGATGCTACTGTCAAGAAGCAGCTTAAGGACCTAGAGTCTAAGGTTAGCACTGTTAACGACAATATCTCATAGATGCTAACAATGATGTAGTAGAGGGTGAATTATGAGGGGAATTAGAGGGAGGGGGGACAATAGGGATGTACATACCTATGATAAATAGGACTCTACTGTAGGTAGAGTTAATTAAAACTGGTTCCTCTGCTCTAGCCCCTATAGGCATGTCTAAACATTTGTGAGCAAGACACCCATGTCACAGTGGGTAGCGACAGGCTACATACCAGCCCTTAGCCCCTTGCTAAAGGCAGTATATGTCCAGCTTTACTAGACAGAGCCAAAGACTCTCTTAACCTCAATCCTAATAGAGGACAGAGTTGCGTTCCATCACTACTAGTCCTTAGGCAAGCTAAACCACCGAAGCGGATGCTTAAATGGGCATATAGTGCTAAAGGCAGCTGAATAGGCTAGGTCGCTAAAGACATAGAGGGTCATGAGACCCTCTATGATCTGTTAAGAGGTTAGCACTAGTCACAAGAGGGGGGAAGAGGGGACTTACCTTACAGATAGCTACATCATAGCCAGACTTACGCTATATAGCCTAGTCATTAACTAGGCTAGCAAATGGCCCTACAAGCAAGCTGATCACGCTGTCTAGGGTACAGATGGCTTGCTAGTTAACGCTATAAAGGTGCTTGTGCCTAGAGAACACAGCTCTCTAGCCACATTGCCTTTTGGCTGGCAATGTGGATGGAAAGTGCCATCTACAAAGCCCTAGACCTCCCTAACCCTACAGACCCTCTTGACCCTAGTAGCAAACTCTGCTAGCTAATCGTATGTCAGCTAGTAGTGCTACTAGAGAGTCGGTCTAAACTAGGCTGCAAGGAATAGCACTATGTCATTAAACATAGTGCTAAGCTAGGCCTTAGAGCATCTAAAGACATAATAGAGGCTGACCTAGCAGCCTAGGTAAGTCTAGCATAGACAACATAGAGAGCAGTCTCTATAGTTAGTGCTAGATGGCTCTGCTAAGTCACCTCCTCAATATAGAGCAGGGGAATCAGCTAGTGTAGTTCCTGTTCTATAAACCAGAACAGGCGCTACGCTTTACCTAGGGGCAGATCCCTTAGGTAGAACGACTAGTGTTTATAAATGAACACTAGCTGAACCACTCGTAGCAACTGCTGCTGCTACTGCTTAATTAGGTGGTGAAAATACATCGTTGCTGCCTAGGCTGTTGCTGCAATGAGCAGTAACAGCAGGAGCACCTCCCCCTGCCCTCATCCTCCTTGTATGCTAACACCTAGCGCTGGTTTTGGAATAGAGGGGCAGGGGCCCTGGTTACTGTCACACGCTAAAAGTGCATCAGTAATTCAGTTGCTAAATTGCTCTAATAGAGCATTGGATTTGGGATTGTGTATTGGATTTTTAGTAAGGGGAAGAGTGAATGCTACTTACTGGCTCTACTAGCTCTACTGGCTCTACTAGTACCACTATATGGCACACTACATACACTAAACTGCACATGTGGGTTTTGCAGTTGACATGACATGACATGACAGGGCAGGCAGGGCAGACAGACAGCCCCCCGCTACACCCTACACCCTCCCTACACCACTAGAGTTCAGGCGGCTATAGACAGGGATGCGCATATATACCCTTAGCGTAATAGTATATAGAAGGACAAGGGCAGGGGCAGGGACAGAGACAGGGACAGGCCACGATCGATTCTAGTTCACCCCTTCCACCCCTTCCATAATACCTACTAGAGTGTCCTACTAGAGCGTCTTAGGACTATGGCCAAACCAACCCCATTTCCAATCCAACTCCTCCTGTCCCCCTAGTCCCAACCCACTTCCTGCCCTCCTACCCCCCGTCCCCTCCACCTCCATCTCCATCTCCATCCCCCCCCTCCATCTACCGTGCTGTGCCTCTCCCAAACGTCTCCACCCCCCGCCCCTCCCTCCTTCTGGAAAGATCCACTCTTGATGGCTTTGGCTTGCGGATAGCCACGCTGCTCTGGTCTAAAAAGCAATCCCGCCACATGACGACCCAGAGAAACTGAGCTATATACCCCGAACCTGCTTCTTATAATACAAGCAGAGATCCCCATTTATTTCCGTGCTCGCCCAAACCAACCCCCAACCACCAAACCCGTAAGATTCGTCTTGAGGCAGACCGCAAACACCTACCTCCTCCAGTCGAGAGCATCTCATACCACTTATCAACCCGCTGAGGATCTAGAATGGAACTCATGGAGCTGGTTGAGAATGAACCCACTGTTCGACCCTTCCAGTGCGAGTGGCCGTCATGTCAGAAGGTGAGTCGAGTCGCCGTTTGTGCGGACTCGCACCACGCCCCAGAGTCCTGGTGGAGTGACGGCATACTAATGGACATGCAAACAGAACTTCAACAGAAAATCCGACCTGCAGAGACACTTCAGGATCCACACCAATGAACGCCCATACTCCTGCCTGACGCCCGGCTGCAACAAGAGCTTCATCCAGAGGAGCGCCCTCACTGTCCATATTCGCACACACACCGGCGAGAAGCCGCACCAATGCCAGCAATTAGAATGCGGCAAACGGTTCTCAGACGTGGGTGCCAACCATCCTTACCTTTTGCCCATCTTTCTAACCCGCCCCAGTCATCGAGTCTCGCTCGCCATCGACGTATCCACACCGGCAAACGCCCGTATAAATGCGCCCACGAAGGCTGCTTGAAGAGGTATGCCCCATCCCCCCAGTGTCCCGTTTCAACCGTCTAATGCTCACCCAGTTTCTGCCGCAAAACCACAATGGTAAAGCACCAGCGCCGCTCACACCAGCGCGGCGGAGGCGTCAACTCCTCCGAGCTAGAAGACGGCGACACCTCCGACTCCGACATGGGAGAATCGCCATCAACCCCCCAGCTCGTGATGCAGGCCCACTGGCCCCAGGACCTCAACACAGTCATCACCCACAGCGTCATGCAGAGCCACCACCAAGCCACCCACCGCTCGCAATCCTTTGCTGATTTCGGGCATTACCATAATGCAAACTCTCAACCCTACGTAACCACCGACGTCTATCCCCCGCGCCACAGCCTCTCGGAGAGCCCGCAGCACTATCAGCACCGCTCTCTTTCTCTTCAGGACCAGAGACACCCACAAGATCTGATCCAGCAGCAGCAACGACAACACCAACACCCCTACTTCATCCCTGAACAAAATAACCCCGGCGTGGCTACCATGAACACAAACCCCAATAGCCATATACAGACTTACATCGCTCGCCAAATCCCAGATCTCCAAATCCCAGATCTCCAAATCCCATATACGACACAACCCCTCCCCGCCTCCGTCTACGCAGGTTCAGATACTTACTCCGCGTTATCCGCACGCACGCCTCCGCCGCCAGAGCTGTATTACGCACACCAGCAACCGATTCAGAAATTCGAATACCCAGCGCACCAGCCCTCTCCCATCGATCAGCAACAGCAGCACCAACAGGTGCCAGTTGTGCAATACCAGCGGCTGCAGGTGCAGCAGGTAGTCCCAACACCACAGCAGCAGCAGCAGTACCAGACGCCGCAGGAGCAGTGGTACGCGCAGGCGCCGTTTCAAGAGCCGGTGGAGTTGGCTAGTGCGATTAACTCGTATACGAGTGCGGGGCTGAATGATCCGTGGCAGCTGAAGATGGAGGCGTTTGAGGATCCGAGTATGCAGTTGCCTAGTGCGAGGTGTGAGAATCTTTGATTTGAACTGCCAGATGTGGAAATCCGAAGAACCAAATACACACAGGCATGCATAGACAGTGCCTAGCGCTACGACGTCGTCGACGGAGATAAAGACGAAGATGAGAGATTTTATACAAGAAGTCTATACACCAACACCAACACCAACTCACTTACCCACTCACCCCTACTTTACTACGATAACACCAAAATTTCCGATTATTATATTGATGATATACACGCACGAGACCCCGAACAACCACCGACATCTATTACGTTTCCTCATAATGAAAAGGGCCACCTCAACTCCACACAACCCACCGCCCGACTACCTCGATCACATCTATCACCCTCTATATCACACAAAAAGCGCACCCTAGTTTCGGCTCCTCACATACCTACTTATTTTCGGGTTTCTGTTTTTGTCGTTTGGATTTGCGTCTTTACTTATTTTACTCGCACATCATAGCGCATGCACAAATCGCGGTCCTTTTAGGGATTCCGCTCGATGTTTTTGATGACTCGGTGGACTTTTGTTTTTCTTGTTTTTGCGGACGTGTTTTCAATGACGGAGGTGGGAGTGGAGGATGAATTGGGGAGTGGGTATAATTTTTGGCGGAACTGGCGGGATGGTGGGAGAGGAGGAAGGGGAAGGGAGGATGGGGAGAGGTTTGGCATGTAATGTACTAACGAAATACCCTGAAGGTTTTGTTTTTGTCTCTCTATTGTCGATGTTTTTTTGGCGATTATTTTTAAGGATGTAACTATAGCTAGTTTTTTTGCGGATGATGGATGGCTGCATATGGGAATGGATTATTTACAGTTACAGTGTATGCTTCTAAAGTGTCTTCAGGGTTAGAAACTCTAGTATACTCATGCGTATTAGCACGTACTCATACTCATGAGTATAGTAAATCCTCGTACTCATACTCATACTCAAATAACGTAGGTCGTGGTGTAATGGGGGGTATGGTGTAGTGGGGGTAGTGGGGCTAGTCCGCGCCATCAAAATACCACCACCTTCAAAAAATCGAAAATATTCAATTACTACCATCCTAATTCATCTATAACGTACATGTATAGCGAAAGCGCCAAACAAGCGAAAGCGCCAAAATTATCTACCCTCACGACAAACATTGCGATAAATCTACCACAACATTAGAAATCAATTGAAACTACTCGGAGTCCTCTTCCTCAGAGGTGTCTATTACAATCTGACACGTGCGCGCATTGTGCCCAGTCTCACCACACTTGCCACAGCGACGGGCACGGGTTTCTTCCCTTGGCTTCCGACCACGGCTTGCCCTTATTTCCTGCTCTACCTGCTGCACAACATCCCTCTCATCCTGTAGCTCTTGCGCCCCTTGTTGACTAAGTGATCCTCCTTGCTGTAGTCGTGTTTTCCTAGCTCTCCGGCGCTTGCTTAGTACTTCATTTGCCTGTCGTAGGTTTTGGTTCTCTCCCTTTAGCAGTGCTAATTGATGCATTATTTGCGATGCACCCTTTGTAAACTGGTCAACAGCTGCATAGATTGAGGTTGGAGAGCTATTTTGATGGTGTGAAATCCGAGTTTTAATAAATGTAGACTGTGACATAGCTTCAATTGGGTTGTTTGGTGTCTGAGAAACCCAAGGTTGAGCAGTACCTGGGCGGGAGCTTGGAGGCGTTGGTGTCCTTAACTTAAGATCAAGTGTAGATATCACTCTCTCAGGGTCAAATGGAAGAAGCCCTGCCCCTTGGAACCCGCCTCGAATGTTACTTTCCGTCATTGTAGTGTTAAATGCAGCGTGGAAGGCAGGAAAGAAGTCATCCTTTGTAATATGAGAAATATGAGCCTGCATCATATCTTCAATTTGCCGACCATAGGCCTGCTTTAACGGGCCTAAACAGCCAACATCAAGTGGCTGGAGTAGATGAGAAGAGTGAGCAGGCATACAAAGCGTAATAATGTTGTGTTCCTTGCAGTACTCCTCAAACTCATCTGAGTGGTGGCTCTCATGACCATCAAGGACTAACAAGCGATAACCACCAACACTCCGGGCCTTTGTATGCTTCTCAAAGTGCTGAATCCAATCCATGCCTCTCTCGTTTGTAGTCCAGCCATTTTCAGTAACAGAAATCACCCAATCGCTTGAAAATCCACTATTCTCATACCAAGATGTAAGGTGGTTATTGCCTGCAACAATGATAAATGGTGGTACTGCCCAACCTTGAGAACTAACGCCTTGGATTACTGTAACCCATTCCCGATTACCAGGCTGTACCTTCTTTGCTTTTGCCCGCCCGTCTGAGCTTGTTACAACCATAGCAGTTGAGATAACGCCCATCATAAACCCAGTCTCATCAAAGTTGTAGATATCTGCTTCATCGATACCATATTTCGCAATTGTGTTACGCACAAGCTCAAACCAGCCATTAATAACTTCTGGATCTTCGCACTTAGCCCTCTGGTAGTCGTATTTGCGCTGAAAGCGTGTCTGGAGCTCTACACGCCACTTAACAAAGTTTGAAGCCCAACGCGACCCAACGCGTGACGCGTCGCGTGTTGCAAGTAGTCGACTTGCCATATCTTCAACAACAGACAGCCGAGGAGGAAACCCTTTGGCAGCTAGGTCGAGTATATACTGAACAAGGACGGACTCCTCTAGGTTAGTTAATTTCCGTGAGTTGGCTTGGATATCGCGTCGTGAAGGTACACCTTCTAGACGACGACCTAGCTTGCGGTGGTCCACAGAATAGATCCTAGCAGCAACTCGAAGGCGTAACTTTGGGTCGCTTTGCATAGCCTGGATAGCTAGCACTAATTGGCTTTCATCGTTTTTATGGGGCATGTTTTGTTGTTGAGGAATTTAACATTTAGTTGGGGGGTTTGGTCACCGCATCATTTTGGCGCTTTCGCTTGTTTGGCGCTTTCGCTATACATGTACGTTATCACTAGTTATCATATAGATCCTCCACACTCCCCTCATCAATTAAATCAATTATAGATATTGTAACTTGTGGTGTTGTTGATATTTTCGACTTTTGTGTTGCTGTTGCTGCCTCTTCTGCCACTTGCGACCGCAGCTTCTTAGTAGAGAAATGGAATTGACCCTTCAAAACTGCTCTGTTGCCCTTGCTCTGTTCTCAGTGTTTCTGGATAATTGAGCGTAAGCTATCTGTTTCTCTTTGCTGCAGCATCTGGCGTGTATTGAGCTTCTCCGTCTCATCTGCTAACTTATGGATATATATTAATAATGCCACGACTTATTGTAGAAGAGAGCACTGTATTTGCTTTGTGGAGTGTCTGAAAATCTAGAGGACTGCTGTTTACAAATACTTTCTTAAAAATGTCATGCTCTATTAGAGTATGTGGCCATTCTGATGCTGCGTCTGTTGCAGGAAGCATAGCTGCGCATAGCGTTGGAGGTGGTGTAATGGTCATGGTAGCGTAATGGTCACCAAAAACCCACCTCGTAACTTCAAACTTGTAAAAACAACAACAATGGCGAGACAAAAAAGCCTTCAGGTTCAGGAAACTGAGGCGCATATAGCTGAAGCTATAGAGGCATACAACAATCGACAATTTACAACCTTAAAGGCTGCAGCAGAACACTTTGAAGTCAGCCGCTCAACATTGATGCGTCGGGTGTTGAGACATCTTTCTTGAGTGCAAGCGCGACATAACCAACAACTTCTACTCGTGCGTCTATGCACTCCAGCCAATTAGAGTACAGTTGAACCTGAATATAAGGATGCCCTCGGGACCGGGCGTGGCATCCTTATAGCAAGGATATCCTTATGTGGAGGTTCACAGAGATCTGAGGAATAACGTGCATGTATAACGAAAGTGCCAAACAAGCGAAAGTGCCAAAATCATGCGGTGACCAACCCCCCCAACTAAATGTTAAATTCCTTCACAACAAAACATGCGCCATAAAAATGATGAAAGCAAATTAGTGCTAGCTATCCAAGCTATGCAAAGCGCCTTCGAGTTGCAGCTAGGATCTATTCCGTAGACCACCGCAAGCTACGTCACCGTTTACAAGGCGTACCTTCACGACGCGATATCCAAGCCAACTTACGGAAATTAAGTAACCTAGAGGAATCAGTTCTTGTTCAGTATATACTTGACTTAGCTTCTAAAGGGTTCCCTCCTCAGTTGTCTATTGTTGAAGATATGGCAAATCGACCTTGCAACACGCGACGCGCCACGCGTCGGGTCACGTTGGGCTTCAAACTTTGTTAAGCGCCATGTAGAGCTCCGGACACGCTTCCAGCAAAAATACGACTACCAGAGGGCTAAGTGCGAAGATCCAGAAGTCATTCGTGGCTGGTTTGAGCTTGTATGGAACACAATTCTAAAGTATGGCATCAACAATGCAGATATCTACAACTTTGATGAGACTGGGTTTATGATGGGCGTCATCTCAAGCGCAACGGTAGTAACGAGCTCAGATGGGCGGGCAAAGGCAAAAAAGGTGCAGCCTGGCAATCGGGAATGGGTTACAGTAATCCAAGGCATTAGTTCTCAAGGTTGGGCAGTGCCGCCATTTGTCATTGTGGCAGGTAAAAACCACCTTGCATCTTGGTATGAGAATAGCGGATTTCCAGCAGATTGGGTAATCGCTGTTACTGCAAATGGCTGGACTACAAACGAGAGAGGTATGGATTGGATTCAGCATTTTGAGAAGCACACAAAGCCCCGGAGTGTTGGTGGTTATCGCTTGTTAGTCCTTGATGGTCATGAGAGCCACCACTCAGACAAGTTTGATGAGTACTGCAAAGAACACAACATTATTACGCTTTGTATGCCTGCTCACTCTTCCCATATACTCCAACCACTTGATGTTGGCTGTTTTGGCCCATTAAAGAGAGCTTACGGTCGGCAAATTGAAGATATGATGCGGGCTCATATTATTCACATTACTAAGGATGACTTCTTTCCTGCCTTCCACACTGCATTTAACATTGCAATGACAGAAAGCAATATTCAGGGAGGGTTCCGAGGTGCTGGGCTTCTTCCATTTAGCCCTGAGAGTGTAATATCTACACTTGACCTTAGGTTTAAGACGCCAACACCTCCAACCTCTCGCCCAAACACCGCTCAACCATGGGTTTCTCAGACACCAAATAACCCAACTGAAGCTGTATCACAGTCTACTTTCATTAAAAACTGAATTGCGCATCATCAAAATAGCTCTCCAACCTCAATCTATGCAGCTGTTGACCAGTTTACAAAGGGTGCATCGCAAATAATGCATCAATTAGCATTGTTAAAAGCAGAGAACCAAAACCTGCTAAGCAAGGGCCGGAGAGCTAAAAAAACACGACTACAGCAAGGAGAATCACTTAGTCAACAGGTAGCACAGGAGCTACAGGATGAGAGGGACGTTGTACAGCAAGTAGAGCAAGAAATAAGGGCAAGTAGTGGTCGGAAGCCAAGGGAAGAAACCCATGCACGTCGCTGTGGCAAGTGTGGTGAGACTGGACACAATGCGCACACTTGTCAGATTGTAATAGACAGGTCTGAGGAAGAGGACTCCGAGTAGTTTTAATTAATTTATATTGTTGTGGTGGATTTATCGCAATTCTTATGGGGTAGTCGCGATATTTTGGCACTT